CTAATAACATGTAGCACTGGAATGAAGGCATAGATTGTCCTCATGGCGTCTGATTCTGTTGCTTCGTCTGCCACCTCTGCGTTGATCCCACCCCTAGCCTATGACAGGGAAAATCTCCCACAGAGGTGGATGTGTGAAATAACTCATTAAGATTTTAGGGTCAGCCTGTCGGAAATTTTCTCGGGATTTTCAGGAGTGCACGTGTGAAAACGGCTTTAAACAAACCATCACAGACCCCCACACTACCCCCATTCGTACTGGAAAAACCTTACAGTACTCGCCCTCCCCCCTTCGCTTTACATTCTCTTAATTTGAGGTTGATAAATCCTGACACACTTGAGTACAGTATTTGAAAGCTAAAAGCTATAACCTTGGACTTCAATGTCCCTTTTCTTCTGCGTTTAACCCTCCTTTAGTCCCTTTGGCCTGGTTTGATTTTCTCCCACCTCCCCTGAGTGCCTCGCTCAGCTGTGCCCACAGAGCAGGCAATCCCCTCCCTCCCATAAAACCCTGAGTGAACAGATGGTCTAAAGCAGAACGCAGCCGCCCTTCTTGCCTCGCTTCTTGCTCTCTAGCGCCGCCCTGGTGGCCATCTCAAACACCTCCCTCACGCCGTCCTTCGTCTTGGCTGAGCACTCGTGGTAACCAGTGGCGTTGATCCGGTTTGCCATATCCCTCGCTTCTTCTGATTTCACCGGTTCCTGTCATTCAAAAAACAAACAAACAAAAAACCTTCAATTAAAATAATACACATTCAATTATTTGTGCACGGTACTCCACGTTTTTTAAGGTAAAAAGCATCAGGGGCGTTGGTTGGCCTAGTGGTTAGGTCGCACGCCCCATGTTCAAGAGGTAGAGCCCTCAAAGCGGACATCTTGGGTTCGACTCAGACCCTCAGCTCCTTTTCCCGCATGTCATTCCCCACTCTTTCCTCCTGAATGACTGCTCTATCCGACGTCCTGGCTCTCAAATAAAGCCCCAAAAAATAATCTGAAATGAATAAAAAGTATCTGAACAAGCTTGAAAAAGGTAAAGCTCGACTGACCTGCTTCATCTTGGCCAGCTCTCGGCGTGTGTGCTCATCATTTCGCAGGTCTTTCTTGTTTCCTACGAGGATTATGGGCACGTTGGGGCAAAAGTGTTTCACCTCAGGAGTCCACTTCTCTGGAATGTTCTCTGCAGCAGAGACGAGGTGTACAGACGGTGTTTAACATCAAGTCAATGCAAACATCACATTGGTAAAGAAATAAAGAAATAAAGACGGGAATCTCACCCAAACTGTCGGGGCTGTCGATGGAGAAACACATGAGGATGACGTCTGTGTCGGGATAGGAGAGAGGCCTCAGTCTGTCGTAGTCCTCCTGACCTGCCGTGTCCCAGAGAGCCAGCTCCACCTATATCAGGACAACGTGTTATTCACAGCCGTCAAGACATGCAGTTGATACATCAGGATTCCTTTATGAGGATTAAATTCCTCGGGCTCAATCGCATGCTGGAAAAAGCTGCAGAATTGCTGATTATGAGGCTAGTTTGTCTGTGTTAACTCAAAGTTGGCCTGCACAGACACATAATTTCTCCTGCACTCTATGTCAAAGAACTACTCTACAAATGCACACACCGATATGTATCATGTCAATGAAATGAATAGCTTACCTGTTTACCATCCACCTCAATGTCTGCCACATAGTTTTCAAACACTGTGGGCACGTAAACTTCAGGGAACTGATCTTTGCTGAAAACTATGAGGAGGCAGGTTTTTCCACACGCTCCGTCTCCAACAATCACGAGTTTCTTTCTGATTGCAGTCATCTGAAAGAGAAAAAACAGTACAAAGTCAGTTTACTATAAAATAACACAATGATTATTTTTAACTGCAGTAAGGCTGTGCTGTAAATGGACAGAAGAAGATATACTTTATTAATCCTGCGAGGGGAAATTCAATTTTACACTTTTTTTTAAGGAGGTGTTTGCACATCAAACTAGCTCATGAAGTAGGTACGTAGGACGAGAAACATGAAAAGAAAAATCCTTGCACACTACTCTTTTTAAGTGACATTCTGTTATTGAGACATGCCAATTAACAACAAGATATTAACAATTAACAAGATATTATTATTATCATTATTTTTAAGTTTACAACAACACAACATAATATCTTGTGCGCACAAGATATATTTGTGATACTTTTTGGGACTTTAGGGGCTCCGTAGTTTTGTTAAATGTTGAAAATGAAACTAATAATCAAATGAATTGACTAATGATATTAGGAAAATGTTGTTTTCAATGTGTAACTAAAGCAGGTAGATGATGTGTTTATTTGATTTACCAATTAATGAAAATTAAGTAAATACGCAAATGTTTATGTACCTTATTTTAAAGTTCTACCTCATCTTCACTCTAATTATCCTACATTTTTGCCTCCAGGTGATATTTACAGCCAATCCTTCTATATAAACAGAAATAACTTAAAGAGGACATATCATTCTCCTTCTCCACCTTTTCAAACAGTCCCCCTGTGGTCTAAATGAAACATCTGTGCTGTGCTTTGGTCAAAATATAACATGAATCAAGCACCAGAGGAGGTTTGTGACCCTGTATAAACCAGCTCTCTCAGAACGCTCTGTTTTGGTGTGTGTGTCTCTTTAAATGCAATGAGCCCGCCTCATCCTGCTGAGTATGCCGACAGGTGCAAAGTAGAGTTCAGTTTTGAGCTTCCATGGCAACTCGTCAGCGTGCCCCCTGAGAAAAACATGGCTGCCGAAGACAACCCAGGAAGGGAGGTGTTGGTTTTTTTTAACCAGAATCCCACTGTGACATCACAAGGAGAGCACATTTAAAACGGAGCATTTTCTCTGTGTTGTAAGACTTATGCAGACCACAAACAAAGGACTGGATCTGTTTATTTCACATTTTGTGGGTCGGTAGACACTCAGGTTACCCAAATATATGTTCAAAAACACTGTAGAAGTAGATTTATCAGAATATGTCTCCTTTAATTTGGGAAGTTTACGATGCATTATTACTTCACTTCCTCACTGCTAGTTTACCTCAAACATCAAAAGCTACTGTATCTGTCAACTCCCTTTTAAATGTGGATTACTTTCTGTCATATATACCTACATTATCTAACGTTATTTCATTTTTCATGACGCTTTTATTAGCCGTACATTCATCACTGAATAAGAGAAGTTCGCAGCTTACTTGAAGCTAAGGAAGCTAGCCGTTAGCTTGCTAACTTTGCTAACTTTCTCGGGACAGTTGGCCTCTCGTCAAGCTTTAAACATCACATTTTAATGCCGTAATATATTTCTGTATTCTAGCGTAAACATTGACATGCAAAAATAAATAAGCAGAGACTGAAACAGAGTAGATTAAGAATCGAAATGTGATGGTTTTGTCAGAGATACTCGCCTTTCTTGAGTTTTTCCTGTTGCACCTCACAGTCCCGCCCCCCGACAGTGCCACGAAGATTGAGCCCGCCCACACCGCATACTTTCAACCAATGAGAAGCGTTGAAATCATGATTGATTTGTAACACAACTAATCACTACTCACACATGTATATCTATAAATCGCACAGTTTTGCTTCATCTTGGGTGGAAGAATGATTTACCCTCACAGTATGCGTTCCGGTGAAAAATGAGTCATTTTACACACAAACATCGAAGTTTAATGTTTTAAACAAGGTGCTACATTACTTTCACAAGCTCTTTATTGAGAAAGTGTTATTAACGTAGCTGAGTAAAGTTGGGAGATAAAGTGCTTTACTGCTGGCTTATCTCTACACTATCTCAGCAAGAATGCATGCAGCGTCCGCCTTAATGCTTGAAATGCACACACATAAAGGACTATCACTTATTATTTAACATGACATTGTGTAAGAGAGACTGTGTTGTGTCAAACTATAAAAGGGAAACACCTTTAAATTTAATGGCAGAAAGTAAGAGGTATTTGAGATGGCAGAAGTCATACAGTACCCACACAAGAAAAATCTGACTTGACAACATGAGCCTTTTTTAACTCAAGAAATCATTTCTGTAGGGAAGTAATTTATGAGTAAAGATTGAAGACTGGGAGGAAGCTGCACAAGAGGTTTGGTTCAACCATCATGGGTGACATTTGACTTCCTCTTTTAAACATGAGATTTTTCAGTTGACTTCCCTTTAATTGTTAGCAGTGATGGTTGGCTTGTCGATCTAAAACAGACTGAAAGGGCAACAAAATGTAAAAAAGAGATAGCAAAGAATTTACTGGTGACGCCCATGAAGACCAATTTTACTTGCATTACTTTAGTTCGTCCTTGTCATTTTAGCCATACAGACAGGCAATGGGGTTTTCACATATTATTTAGATTAGATTAGATTAGATAAATTTAGATATACCTTCTTGTCCCCAGAGGGAAGTTTCTCTTGAGCAAAAGAACAGAGAAAACAAACAGCTCCATCCAACTTGTATAAATACACATCAAGTGATGCATAAAATACAGTAAAAGAGATTGATTCCTATACAGTTTGCACAATGTAATAAAAGAAGAATAAAAAGACTAAATGCTGAAATAACTCTAGAATAAATTAAAAGAAGTTAAATACTGTGCATGGACTCGTTCAACAGGGAATAAAATCAGCATCATAGATTATGAATCCAGCTGACTTCAGTCATCCCTTTTAAGATAAATCCACTCTTTAAATCAAAAGGAGCCACAATAACTCTGGTCAGCCTGTTTTTTTAGTCATCCTCAAAGCAAACTTTATTTTATCCAACAATTTTACGTGACGTTGATTTTGACGTATGAAAAGTTATCTGAAACCTCTTTAAATTCCCGCATTATTAGTTGTTGTTATGGTTTTGTTTATTATTCAACGCGCATACTTTCACACGTTTTACGTCCGGATCACGTGATCAGATGTTGACAGGAAGTTGACTTGTTTGAGCCAATCAGCGGCGAGCGGGTGAATCCTTCAGCAGCTATTGGCGGAGAATTCAAAAGGCAGGAAATTTAAACGGTAACGGTCTGCGACTCCGCAGTTTCAATCGTGTCGCTCAAGGAACGGACAAACACGGTGAGCTTTTTGACAAATCATACACTGTTTTGTGCTTAAATCAGTCTTTGTCGACTTATTTTTTAAGCTTGTAGATTATTAAACAAATTGAGTCATCTATAAATCAACACGAAGTCTGCGTTTATCGGTTTAAAATGTCAAACATTTGCTCATGATGTGAAGCTAACATTAGCCACCTAGCTTCTGTGACTTTTCTCTAAGCTACAGCTCACATGAAAATATCCTCCCTACACTCAGCTAATAAGTTATATGATACAGTAATGCTGTGATTTTCATCTTGCCAAGCTTTTTTTGAAGATGTTTTGCCTTGGTTCTTGTCCAGGTGAGTTGTGGATCATGGCTGACAGTGACTCTGGTGAGACCTCTGATCGGTATGAATTTGACGCCCCGTCCAGTGTCGTCGACCTGAAGGAGCTGGACAAAGCTGATAATAATGATATGTGGTTTGGTAAGTGTCCTCTGGTTGTTTCAAAATGCCTGATAGTTTCCAAGACCGTAGTAAATACATTATTATGGTTGTTTTTCACATTGTTATTGTCTGCATTTGTCTGGCAGGGTGTACATGTTTGGCTTTTTTTATTTTGATGAATTATTTTTTATTTTATTTTTTTTTCATTTTGTGCAACCACTAAGGCTCCTTTAGAGCATTACAGACTTTCCTTGACCCACTGTCAGTTATTTGCTCATCATTTGTCCCCCTTTCCCCTGCGACTGCGAAAAACGGTAACAGTCAATTATGTCTCAAATTTAACTCAACATATGCCAGTGATCAAATATTATTATTGACATACTTCTGGTTTTCATGATTTCAAGGCAGATTTTGTCATGTTTTCTTCATGTTTTGATATGTAAATATTGACCTGAGGGCCACATTGAGGGTTGACGAGGGCCGCATGTGGCCCCCGGGCCGCCAGTTGCCCACCCCTGGCCTAATGTATTTGTCTGGCAGGTTAAACTTGTGTTAAAATTAATTTGTCGTCTTTGTGCAACCACAATAATGACAGTGGTTCCAACTCCTGCAGAAACTACACCATCACCTTTTGATTGTTTTGTGTTTTTAATTTTTTATAATTCGAGATATAAAATGATAATTTGTGCGGCGTTTAGTGTTTACTACTTTAAATACTTTTCTTGATCCAGTGTAACCCACTCAACCTGGTCGTTTTGTAAGGTGAACAAAATTATTAGCATACAGGAAGTGAGTCAGGTTAGTGTTCTGTGTCTGTGATCCTCACAGCCTGAGGTCACTGTTAAAGAATTCATTTTTAGGGCTGCACAATGAAACACATATTTTATGCTTTCTTACTCAGCATTTTTACAATTTTACACGCTCTCACACCGCTTTCCTTGCAGTCAGATGCCCTTGAGCACAAGCTGATGATTCCTTTGTCATTCCCTCCTCATGGATTCTGCTTAAAGCATCCTACAGTGTCACCTGCTTTGTTAATAACTCATAAAAGAAATCGTCCTCCTGATCTCTGACTGTCTCTTACGTGCAGAGCAACAGTCCGAAGTAGTAGACAGCCCCTTTCAAACAACGGGAGTAGACCGACTCTTCATGAGAACCGACAGTGTCAACCAGCCAGTTGCCGTCGTTGCTCCTCAAGTGAAGACAGACACCGACTCTGGTTAGTTATCTTTGTTTTGACTCTGTTACTGATTACTAAGGATGTACACGTGGATGTTTTCTGTTTGGCTGCTCTGGAGATAATGGGTGTGTCTTCCAGGTGGATCTGGGATGTAGTTTGATTTATCTGCAGACAAAAGACTGTAGGCGACTTGGATGTATGGCTGTTACAACGACGTAGAAAGTTTTTTTTTGTTTGTTTGTTTTTACCAAAATGCATGAAAACAAGAATCTTTAGGACTTGTTTGCTTTCCTCTGATGTATCCCAGGATGCTTTATGGTCTAAAATGCTGGCATTTGAAGGACTGAGTTTAACGGGTTAACATGATCTTTAACGGACCGATGATTCTTCCAGGACCCAGCACGTCCACATACCGACCTCCAAACGTGGTCACATCCTGGGGCGGAGTAACTCCCGCTCAAAGTGGAGCGCGGCCAAAAACGAGGACCTCAAATCCACCCCCTGCCCAGCGATTAAGGTATGTCCCCTATGTTTGTGTCTGCTGCTCCTTTACTACGATGTGAAGCTAGATTTGAAAAAAAGAGAAGAAAAGGGAAAGTCGTCTGACACAGTCAATGTCTAATCTGTTTGTGTTTGAAAAGTAAACCATGTCTCTATCAGGTTTACTAAACTCATCTAAGTTATTCTCCCCCTAGAGAATCTCTTCAGACAGTTTAATAAAAAACAAGATGAGCTGTGGTTCTGATCAACCTGAACAGAGTTAGATTAGATGGTTAAATCTAGCACATGAGGGTGATTGGTTGCGCCAGACCAACAGTTTTACACCAAGTGACAGAAGCACAGGGGAACATAATTTTGTCAGTGACTCGGGGGTTTTATTGAAACTTGGACTGGTGCTTTAAAAACTGAAACAAAATCAAAACAAGAGATTGAAACCGAATAGATAAAATAAGAGGTACAACATGTACACTGGATTAGGATGGAGTAAAGAGGACTTTACAGGACAATGTGGACCAATCATTTCAGCATCTTACCGTGTGGTTGATTTCAGTCTAATTCGTTCCTCGACTTTTCTTCATTCTCAGGGTTTCCAAACGTAAATCCACCGCTACGGCTGCACCGCCATTAAAGAAACAGAAGAAGTGAGTATTGTGAGCGTGCTGTTGGATCCACCAGATGTTTCTTTGTTCTCTACTAAAACCTCCGGACCTAGAAAGTCAAATCGGGGTCCCCACATTGCATCATCTCTGCTGCTTTTTCAAGTCTTAAACTGAAGCTGTTTATTTTAGGAGTCCCGTAGCTAGACCGGTCCGAAGAAGCAGCGCCGCCCGTCGCAGGACCGTTCAGGCGAACACTGGGACTTCGACCATCAGCCGGGCTGCAGCTCCAACTCCTGCAAACACAGTGTGAGTCCACAGCTACCAGAGAGTCCCGTCTTTAGCATCCCCTTCTTGGTGTGGGAGATATGGATATTCACTCTCTGGACAAGTTGCTAAAATAGAGTTTGAACCTTTTGATCCTAACAGGCCGAGCAGCTCTGAAGAACAGGAGCTGGAACGCATCAGGAAGCTGCAACAGGAAGTCGTTCTGCATCGCAAGAAGAACGAGGCGAGCTACAAAGCAGCTCTGGCTGGCAGTGAGTAAACGACAGTGACTAACTTTGAGCAGCTTGAATTTTTCATGGCTACCTTTTTAAGGAGCCTTCAGAAAGTCAGCCTTACAATTGTCTTTGTGTTGCTTTATTTCAGATCCACCACCAAAGAAAATGGTCCTTTCAGCGACTGTGCCTAAAGAATTCCACTTCAACTCGAACACACGGTCCAAGACGGCCGCTGCATCCAACGCGGCTCACAGGGAAGTGGACTATGCTGCCCAGCTCCGCAAACCGTCGTCTCCAGTGAGTAAATATGAGACCACATTAATGCTGCAGCGGTCTGAAGTGATGATGAGAAATCTGTAATAAAAAAAAAATGTTTTGGTTCTCATCCTGCCATCCCAGTTTGATAAAACCTCAGCACTAAAACAGCCCCAAGCTGCTACTCAACAAAATAACATAAAACACATGTTTACAAGTGACTTAGTGCTGTACACCTGTTATATTAGGCCCAGTGTCCACCAAGCATTGTTTTTTCCCGACAGAAAAGTGCTGGCTGTGCGCTTGGGAGCACTGAGAAGAAAAGAGCTGCAAGTCCATCCTGTCTCTATGACAACAATCTGTTGTTAACGGCTGCTGTATGACCGACACTGCTCCGTTACTTTCATAAAGAAAAGAGCACATGTGGCGTCAACATCGCCTTTCTGAAAAGTTGGAAAATTTCCAACTTGAGCGCTCAGAGCAGCTGCACAAATAAGGTGGAGCACTCAGGAAAAAAAAGCTGGGCGCTGTGCTTTTTAGGCTATTTGTTCTCTTTAAGTGTGCAGAGAAATCAAATTACATGTTTCTTTTTGCAGACATTAAAAAAAACTATCACCTTTTCTGTATTTTAGGCAAGGCCTCCGAGAGGTGCCACAGTGCCCAAACCCTTCAACCTGTCGACGGGCAACAAGAGAAGGATGGGTGAGCCGTCGGCCTATGTGCCCATGGCTCAGCAGATAGCACAGTTCCAGAAACGAACCCCTGAGCGCTACCACCTGCGCAGCCGCAGCAGTCAAGCAAGAGGTGAGTGAGAGACGTCCATCTTCTTTTCACCTGTTTCTTTTCACCGTCAGTGTGAAGTGGGACTAAAATGCGTGCATGAATTGTGTTTTCAGGACCATCTCCAGTGAAGGGGGAACACCTGAGGCTCACCCATCCTCACACCCCACACCTGATGACCAACCAGAGGAGCCGACCCCCCACTGTTAAGAGCAGCGAAGAGCTAGAGGCGGAGGAGGTGGAGAAACTTAACAAGTAAGGACCTGTGTTTACCTGTCATCGCTCACAAGGTTTTTGTATCCTGTCCAAACGGTGATGGACCAAATGTGCACTGATGTGAAAATGGGAAGTTCAATCAAAGGTGCATCTTAACAGCATGATTTAGATTTGACCTGCTGACTAGGAATAAACAAACGTTGACTTTAATCTTCAGTATTTGCTGAAAGAGACAGAAAAAACATCTTCAATATGAACTTTGCTTTGCTAAATTTGGGAGAATAAGTCTGGACACGAACATAGGCTGCTGAAGTACTTGGTAGTTGTGTAGTAATTAAGTAATTACTCTAAGCCTGAAGATCCATCCTGTTAGGAGTGTCAGATATCAGCATTAATGTTTTTGTGTTTAAATCTTAGGTTTCAATTCAAGGCTCTGGAGCTGAACAGGAAGATTCTGGAGGGTGTAGAAGGTCTAAAGAAGCCGTCTGTGAAGGAGCCGACTGTACCGGAAGGCTTTGAGCTGCAGATTGAAAAGAGGCTCCAGGAGAGACAGGCCGCCAAACCTCAGGAGGACGAAGAGAAACACACCTTCAAATCCCAGCCTCTGCCCAAGAAGATCCTGGAAGGCGTGACGGTGAGTTTAGATCCTGCTGCCTGGAGAGGTTAGCAGACCGTCGAGTCTAAACTAACTCAGGCTTTCTTAATTAAAAAAAAAAAAAATGAGTTTCCTCTTTATCAGCTACAATCATATGGAAATAAAGTTTCCTCTCTCTGTTCCACAGGGAGTACCCGACAAGAAAGTTCTGCCTCCCACAGTGCCGGAGTCTCCAGCTTTTGCCCTGAAGAAGAGGATCCATGTGGTGCCCAAGGTGGAAGTAAGGACTCGTTTAGGTCGCTCGCCTTCTCACACAAACACAAAACTTCTTTAAGGTGCCTGAAACTCGGGGAGAGCTGCATTAGTCATCACAATGTGTTGTGTTTTTTTTCTGTCCCTGGAGTTTTTCCTGCCCGCACTCTGATTACAATTCTCCAAGAAGTCGTGCTGAGCCAATGAGTGAACTCAGAAGGAAATATTCAGGGAAATTTGTCGGGGGCAACGACTTTACATGCAGCATTGATATAAGGGCATTTACTGTCATCATAGCTGTGTCACTCGGTAAACATTTCAACTCTGTCAACTCAGGTAGATTTCAGGGGCAGTCTGTCCAAAAACATTTCCAGGGGTTCATGTTAGATTCGAAGCTGCTAAGCTCTCTTTTTCTTTCACTCACTTTGACGACCTTAACTCACCTCGAACTTGTTTTTTCCACCAGGTGAAGCCGCCGTCACCAATCAAGGCCCCCCCAGTGCCTCACTTTGGCCTCCCCTTCCAGCCCCAACTCCCAGAGAGTCACAACGTGGAGGTCTGTCCTTTCTCCTTTGAAGAGAGGGAGCGAGAGAGGAGGGCACTGAAAGAGAAGAAACTGGTGGAGATGCGAAATGAAGAGGTGGAGTAAAACGTCCAAATACAATCTTAAGACCGCAATGTATAAACACAGGTGTTAAGTTTCTGATTTTCTCCCCTGATCTTTTCCAGGTTCCACAGTTTAAGGCTCAGCCTCTCCCGGACTTTGACGCCGTCATCCTCCCAGAGAAGAAGAAGCTGGAGCCCACAAAGCCCGAGCCCTTCAAAATGCGCCTGGACGAGCGAGGAGCCGTCAAGTCCAGCCGCTGGGAACAAATGGTAAGAAACTAAAAAGAAGCTGTTTTTAAACTTTAACAGTCTTTTCCTTTAAAAACTCCCGACCTAAACCTCTCATGTCTTTGTAGGTGAAAGAGGAGCAGAAACAACGTGAAGAAGCAGCCGTATTCAAAGCGAGGCCGAACACAGTCACCCATAAAGAGCCTTTCCAGCCTAAAAAGGATAGCCGCACTGTATCAGGTAAAAACGACCGTCGTGCACCGCTGCACCCTGAAACTAACCCCGCTTTAGAAGGACCTGTGATGCTTTATCCCAAACACTCAGAGTTTGATTAGTAAATGTGCAACACCAGAATCTTCCTGCAGTAGCTCATCATTCATCTTTTTGATTGGCCAATCTCCAAATACAGCACATTCATACCTGGCCTGTGCAGTATTTAAATATTTACCCTCAGCAGAAACATCAAGATTTTTGATTATCTTTCAACAAAGTTCTGCATGGCTGAGCAGTTTATTATATTACTATCAAGTAGCCCAGTCCTATTTCTGCATGCAGTGATGGTGTAAAGTATTAAATGCTGCCCGACGCTGTGTAGACTTTCTGCAAGGTTCTCTGGTCGGAGGCTGCAGCACTCTGCAGTATTGTGTCACTCATTGTCTTCCTGTTACCTTCATCACACTCTGAGAAGGCATTTACTCATCCTCAGTGACGGAGGCCTTCGAGCTGTCGACGGAGCGGCGGGCACGGGAGCGGCAGGAGTTCGAGCGTCAGGCCAGCGAGAAGGAGGCTCTCAGGGCGCTGATGGAGGAGGAGCAGAGACGAGAGGAGGAGCAGAGGAAGAAGGAGGATGTCTCAAGGATGCGGCAAGAACAGGTGACTGAAAAACACTTGCATACCCCGGGTATTAAATTCAAAAGGGTCCAGTTCTAGAAAAAGTTCTCAAAGTCGTCTTGCTGATGTTACGGAGACATTATTTCAATCTGATTCATAGACTCCACAGGAGCTTTAAGGTAGACTGACCCTACTGAGGACCAAGAGCTTAACCTGAGAACTTCTTACTTTAGTTTGGATTGAATTACTATAGAACTTTTGTCTTTGATGCAACACGTCTGTGAAAGAATTATCCCCGCCATGAGCATCACTACCTTCTCTGTAACACTCCTGCTTACAGTGGTGCATTGATTTGATCCATGTTTAACATTTGGCTCCTTCAGAGAAGCGTGGAACAGTTCAATACTTTGATACGTCCTGATGCCATATGTTTTACATAAAACTGCCCCTTTTTAAGGTTTCTTTTGGGGCTTTTTATGCTTTTTTTTTTTTTTTTTTTGAGAGATGCGGCAGCCGATATAGTCAGTAATCAGTGTGTGTGATGTATGACGTGCAGGAAAGGAGCCACATGTTGGATTAAAATCCAGGCCGTCAGATTAGAGGACTAAAGCCTCTGTGTATTGGGCGAGGCACTGACCACTAGGAAACCAGTGCCCCAAAACCCTTAGATCTTCAGTCATATTTTAAATCAAGTTATGCACCAAGCGAAAGGGAGCACAGTCTCAAAGTTGCACAAACAAGAAATTTCCCCACATAGAGACCTAGGACTTTTCTGTGGTATGAACTCGGTTTAGATTTTAACTAGAATAATATAGAAAATCTGTCAGCGGGACAATTCCTGTAATCCTAGTTTAAATAATTCTGATTGCATTGACTGAAATGCTTTAGTCTTGACTGACGGCTCGGTTTTGGACCAATCAGCTGCTGGACTTTAAAGCCTTTGTTCTAAGATGTGCAGCGGCCTGTTCAGTGTGCAGCTTCATTCTGACTTCGTTCTTCCTCCTCCTGCAGGTTCATAAAGCTCAACCCATCAGACACTACAAACCTGTCGACCTGAAGAAAAGTGAAGTTCCTCTCACCGTACCACACTCACCAAACTTCACAGACCGCTTCCGCTTGTGATCATCCCCCCTCTCTCCACATATTTACTTCATGAGTTTTAATTTCATCCTTGTAGGCAGATCCCTGAACTTTTATATTTCCGCCAGACTTCTGGCTGTAACCGTGTAAATAGACGTGTCTTTGATATGACTGAAGCTCTGCTGTTGTCTGTTCTATGTTGAGCTTTAGATTTTAACCACATGCTGTATATTCTCTTAACTCCTCTTTACTTTTCTTTTAATAAAGTGTTGTCAAATAAAACCACAGACTCTGAATCAGTCATTATCAGTTAGTCTTTAAACATCTTCTCCTTCAATGATTCTTTGGCTGCACATCTGGATTAGATCAGGCATCTTTCCTAGATTCATTATGAACCTTTACTTCCTCTGCTGCACGGGACAAAATTAAGAGGACACCCACTTCAGGCAGCAATGCTTGCCTCCCCCCGATGTCTTGACCTTGGGCCTCGCTTTGAGAACCCCTGCAATAACGGGACGACAGCACAGACTCAAGTTGGTTTCACTGTTTTATTGGAGTTGTGATTAGAGCAGTGATGGCTTACAATTTAAAAGAAGAAACTGAGTATGAAGCACGTTAATAATCTCAGCAGACAAAAACATCAGAGACAAAAGTGACCTCTGATTCCAATCTGAAATCTCACATGAAGCCGTGAGCTTAAAAATGCAATGAAAACTATATCGGATGTGTTTTTTTTTTGGTTTTTATCACAAAATACACAAAATAATAAATAAACAGAGACTTTGGAGTGTTTGAGTTCAAGAGAGTTACTGAAGAAGGAAAAAAAAAAATCTACGCTGAACTCCTGATGACTTCCTGAGAGGAGTCCAGCTCGAGGCACTACAGGGTCACACACACCACACACTCCAGACCGAACAGGAGCCTTCAGGATGATCCAACAGCTGCAACGAAACTCAGTATTCATGTCCTGATAAAGAAAACTATTTTTCAGAGAGGGATGCCTGCTGAAATCTGTCATACTCTAATTTGTGATGAAGTAACAGAAAGACGAAGCAGCAGAGGCAGGATCTCACTCTTCACTTCCAAAAGGCGGTACATATCCTGATTTGTATCTATAAACTTCAAATAATAGCCCACCCCAAGCTTAAGTGCATTCTTTTTTTACCTGCCTGGTGTTGCTGCTTGTTTTGACGTATAAAAAAGCCCATCTCGTATTGACGTCTGTCCCAAATGAAGGCCGGGTCATTTCAGTCTCTAAATTCAGACAAATAGGACGTCTGAAAAACATTAATTCAAGTCAGAATTTTTAGTCAGCGACTCCAGTTCTTCTCCATCAACACCCCTAATGTACAAGATATTCGATGTTTGTGATATGGAACATGTAGTAATAATTTGGCTGTCCTCACATGCCCACTTTCTTCTGATTGGCCAGCTCTCTGGAAGCCTTCTGGGGGCAGAATGCTGCAGGGCTGCCGGTGCTGGGAGAAGAGAGCCTATGTAAAGAGGTTTCAACGGCATTATATAATCTACACTGATTAGAGCTCTCAATAACTGCCGTCAATGTTTATGCTTTGCCTCTGGTCTCTTCCTGTCAGACTCAAAGCTGATCGTTTGCTCTTACTGACATTGTTCACTTTTTTTTCTAGATCCTTGCTTGTGTTGTACTTACTCTCTGATGTACGTCGCTTTGGATAAAAGCGTCTGCTAAGTGAATTGTAGAATTATATAAGAACTGGAGGTTTCTTCTGGGTCTAAGAAATATAGCCAGTCCCTTGAACATACATTCTTTACAAAGGCCAGCAGGGGGCGACGACTGGTTGAAGAAAAAGTGTTATTGTAGAGAAGACCAAGGATGAGATTGAGTTTATGTTGTCAATCTGTAATTTAAAGTCTTCTTCAACACAGAAAGACCCTCACTCAGTAAATTCTGGTCCTGTTTAGAGTCAGACCGACCATGAAGCCGCCTGAAAACAGCATGAAAATAAAAGAGCTCCCCCCGTTTGAATCAGGAAGTAAAGAGCCGCTGTGTGTGGATCCTGCTCAGTCTGGACCGGTCTGTGATGTGTGTGGTGGTGGTCTTTGGGGGGTGTTCATGGATCCACAAAGGACACAGCGATGTAGCGGACGCCGGCAGTGGTGGGCAGGCCTTCGTGGTAGTGGGTGAGGCGGCCCGGGTGCATGAGGGTCCAGCCTTTGCGGGGAGCCGAGATGGAGCAGTCGTAGCGGAGGAACCTGCAGCCGCCTCCCTGCAGTCACAACACAACACACGTTATGATCCACCACAAGGGGGCACTGTGTTGGTGTTAACATCAGTGGTTCTGAACTGGTCTAGACTCAGGACCCCCCATCTACTCCTGGACTTAGGACCCCCCATCTACTCCTGGACTCAGGACCCACTTTCTACTCATAGACTCAGGACCCACCATCTACTCCTAGACTCAGGACCCACCTTCTACTCCTGGACTCAGGACCCACCATCTAAACCTAGACTCAGGACCTGCCTTCTACTCCTAGACTCAGGACCTGCTTTCTACTCCTAGACTCAGTACCCTCCATCTACTCCTAGACTCAGGACCCCCCATCTACTCCTAGACTCAGGGCCCCCCATCTACTCCTAGACTCAGGACCTACCATCTACTCCTAGACTCAGTACCCCCCATCTACTCCTAGACCCAGGACCCACCATCTACTCCTAGACTCAGGGCCCCCCATCTACTCCTAGACTCAGGACCTACCATCTACTCCTAGACTCAGTATCCCCCATCTACTCCTAGACTCAGTACCCCCCATCTACTCCTAGACTCAGGACCCACCTTCTACTCCTAGACTCAGTACCCCCCATCTACTCCTAGACTCAGTACCCCCCATCTACTCCTAGACGCAGTACCCACCATCTACTCCTAGACCCAGGACCCACCATCTACTCCTAGACCCAGGACCCCCAACTACTCCTAGACTCAGGACCCCCCATCTACTCCTAGACTCAGGACCCACCATCTACTCCTGGACTCAGTACCCCCCATCTACTCCTAGACGCAGTACCCACCATCTACTCCTAGACCCAGGACCCACCATCTACTCCTAGACCCAGGACCCCCAACTACTCCTAGACTCAGGACCCCCATCTACTCCTAGACTCAGGACCCCCCATCTACTCCTAGACTCAGGACCCACCATCTACTCCTAGACTCAGTACCCCCAACTACTCCTAGACTCAGGACCCACCATCTACTCCTAGACTCAGGACCCACCATCAGCAGTAATAATCAGTTACATTGTGGACTAGCGTCTGATTGGACCACGTTATTGAGGATGCGGGGAAACAAAACGGATGCAACAATCAAAAAAAGGCTCCTGGCTTCAGCCTCACGAGTCATGCAGAGAAGACAGACTCACAAAGAGACGACACAAATGGAAAGTTTGAAACACCAGAGGATGGATGTGAACATGCCAGGAACATGATGGCATTTAATGATTTGAGTCTGACTTCAGCGTAATGCGTCCTCTAAACTAAAATGTTCTCTGAGCTACTCCGTGTTCTCTGTGATCTTTAATAATCAGCGCTGATTGCCTGGCTTTGAGACTAGTGTTGTAGTCAAGACCACATTAACCGAGACCAAGATGTTCCAGAGACCAAGACAACATTTAGAGAGCGAGATCGAGTCAAGACCAAGACCATAACTATCTCTGAAAATTCCTCATCTTGTGTTTAGGGTCCACTGACTTAGACCGTAACACCGGGAAAGTTGTGACCGTAACAAATGGATAAAAATCGAATTATGGATGAATTTATAGGCTTTACATGCAATTGTTGTGTTAGCATGCTAATGCTAGCGATCTTTATTATGCTCGTATCTTCACACTGCATGTAAATCTACCCGAAATGAGTGTGATCTAGAAACACAGTTAAGCAGTGAGTACAGTATGTTATTCTTCTTTTCTCTAGTCCCTCAATTAAACAACTTTTATACATGAGGGGAGGAGTCAGCCGGCCGTCCCGACGATGTAAACAAACTGAAGATAGGACTCTGAAAACTCTGAAATCATCACAGACAGTGGGACTCGTGTGTTACACCCATTGTAGACAGTCATGACTCACAGAGTTATTTTCAGAGGATATACTTAATTTATATTACATTTAAGTGTGAAAAATCCCATATTAAGCATTTAAGTTATAAGTTATTTTAGAAAAAGGGCGTTTTCCTTCTAATCACAGTGATGACTATAGGAGAAATAGCCGATCAGTGGAGGTCTTGATTTAAAATCCGGAGTCCACCTGGTCTGAGGCCGAGACAAGACAGAGTAAAAATGATTTTGCTTCTGAGACGAGACGTTCAAAAAGTGGTCTAGAGAGTACTACAACACTAGTACAGATAATTTCAATGACCAGCTGTTAGGTAGTAAGGCCTTATATCAAGTTATGGAATTATCTGCATATTTATTTATTAAATACCTTAAAAATGTACAGAGAATATCCTCGTCAAATAAGCAAACAGGTGCTCTCTAATCTGAACAGCTGCAAAAGGGAAATGGGATAATAGGTTTGGAGAGCAACATCTTGTCCTAACTAAGGCCTTGTTCAGACTTCCAGACCGCATCTGTTTATCGTCATACCAAGATCATATCCAGATTGATTTAGCAAAGTCCAGACAGCAAAACAAAACAAAACGTAATATGAGACTAAGTGGATGAAAGCCTTATTTGAAGGTTTAAAATGTTATTCCTGTCAGATTTCAGCTGGGACATGCAGATTGGATTTCAAAAATCATGCAAGCCATTGCAAATACACGTTACTGTAATATTTCCACCTTTTTTTTCCCCACTCCATTGTACTTTGATTAGCAAGGAAGCTGAATCAAATGCATCTTCCAGAAGGCCACAGTTTCTGCCCCCGTGAAGCTAAATGTCAGAGTTTATTTCAAGTATAAAGAAGTAAGAGAGTCTGGACCCTTGAACAAAAAAATAGGCAACATGACAGCTGCCCAAAAGTGACACTAAACATTTTTTTTGCCCATGTGGCTGGCTTCAGTATTGGTCATAAGCCATAAACCCCGCCCCCTTCATGTTAACAGATGGGACGTGGGGCAAACAACAAAATCTGAAACATGATTTCTGTCGTTATAGTTTGTTCTTATCGTTGCTGATTTATGTCCAAATGTTTGCATCTCTCCAGGAGGTCGCTGTTTGTGCCCCAAATATCAGTGGTGACTTTAAGTACGAGACACTAAATCAGTCTGAAGATAAAATCTTGTAAAATCTTGTAAACCTCTTACAGAACTCAG